AAAAACAAAAAAAAAAAAGGAAACGATTCATTATTGGGTTTAAATATAAATAAGAAAAAAATAAATAAATAAATAAATAATAATAATTTTTTTTTTTTTTTTTTTTTAAATAAATTTAGTTGTATAAATGAACTCTTTAAAAAAAAAAAAAAAACATAGTGTGAAAGCAAAAAGGCTTATTTAAAATTAATAATAATAATAATTAATAATAATAATAATAATAATAATGGGGAACCAAACCAAAAAAAAATGAAAAAAATGAAAAAAAAAAAAAAAAAAAAATTTTTATATACCTTTTATTTTTTCGGAAAAAAAAAAAAAAAATTAAGGAAAATCGTTTTCATATATATATATATGTATATGTATATGATTAAATTTATGTATGTGCGTGTGTGTGCGTGTGCGTGTGCGTGGGTGGGTGCGAGTGTGTGTTATGGGTGCGCATTTGTGGAATTAGTATATGTGTGTGTGGGTGTGTGTGCGTGGGTGGGTGTAATAATTTGCACATGTTTTTTAGATGCAAGATGAAAACAGTGAAAAAAAAAAAAAAAGTATTGCCTAAATAAAGTATTATATACAATTTTAAATATATATTCATTTATATATAAATATATATATATATATATTTAGGTGTGTTTTCATCAAAGTGAAACTAAATATTTTGCTGCTCGCAATGCAACTAGTCATTAGACCGCCATAATCGATATTAATCTAATTTTATTATTATTATTATTATTATTATTTTTTTTTTTATCGTTTGAATAAATAATATTTTTTTCGTGTAATTTTTTAAATTAAATAAGGGCCTGAGTTTAATTATTATTATTATTATTTTTAATTAATTTGACTCGAAAAAACACGAGAGACAAGTGCGTTTAAACAGACAAAAACCAAAGGTGATTTATTATTATTATTATTATTATTATTAATTACGGTTTTTTTTTTTTTTAACCTTGATTAAATTCACCTCGTGATGACGCAAACAAACGAAAGAGTTTTTTAATTTAATTTAAACAACAACAACAACCAAAATAACATAATAATAATTAATTAATTAATATTTTGAATATATATAAATATATATATATATATAGTTTAATGTTTGTTTCCTACAAATTGTACTTGTCTTATTCTCCTCGGGAAAAAAGAAAAAATAAATTTTCAAATTTTTTTTTTTTCTTTCTTTCTTTCTTTAACCTTTAATACTTCCCCCATTATGTCTTTTTTATTAATTTATTTCAACGATATGACAAAAAAAAAATGTTTGGTAGTTTGTTATTGTTTTCGAGTGGCAAATATTTAAATAAAATAAAAAAAAATTGACATGCACAAAAAAAATAATAATTTTTTTTAAATAGGGCTGCTACTTTTTTTTTTTTTTTTTTTGTAAAAGTTTTATAATAATAATAATAATGTAATAATTTTTTTTTTAATTAGTCAAATCGAAAACATAAAGGGTTTTGTTTTTGTTTATTTTTATTGTAAAAAGTCAAAAAAATTTCTTATTATAATTATAAATTATTTATTATTTAATTTATTTATTTTTTAATAATAAAAAAAAAAAATTTTGATTGTTGGTTTAAAGAAAAAAAATTATTAAATACATAAATTAATAATATAAGAGAAAAGGAAAATAAATTTTTATTTGCAATAAATAATTAATGATGATTAAAATTATTATTATTATTATTATTATTATTATTTAGTAATATAAATTTTTAATAACTTCTTTTTTTTTTTTTTTTTTTATACCCCGGATTTGTATATGAAATTTTTTTTTCTTTTTTTTTTTTGGGCAAATTAATTCTTAAAAAAAAAAAAAAAAATTTCAAAAAGTTTAACCCATCCATAATAATAATAATAATAATAATAAAGTATATATAAAATAAATACTACTGGGAAAAAAGAAAAAAAAAAAAATTTATTTTCCTCAAAAACTTTTGTTAAAGGGAAAGTAAATCAATAAATTACTCGGATTTAATTAATCATAAAAATTATTATTATTATTTTCGATTCATTCATTCATTCATTCATTCAAGATTGATTAAATTTTTGTGCAATCACACCTTTCCTTTTTGTTTCTGTATTTATTTTAAAAAAAATTAATTGTTAAATATTTATTGTTATTAGTTTTACTTTTTTTTTTTTAAAAAAATAATCGATTTCATTTTATTTTTAAAAAATAATTTTATTAAAAATAATTCTATCTATCTAATAAATTTCATGTTTGCTTTTTTTATTTTTCATATTATATAATAATAAATTATAATATTATAAATTTTAAAAAAAAAAAAAACTTATAACAATGACACGAATAATTTTTATTTTATAATAAAATACCCTTTGTTTTTATTTTTTTTTTTCATTAAAAACTTAAACAACATTTGAATTATTATTATTATTTATTTTTCATCTTGATTTTATTAATCTTTAAACAAAATAATAATAATAATAATAAATAATAAATAATAATGATAAATTTCAATTACTTCTATATTTTTTTATAAAATTTCTCAATGATGAAAGTAATAGTAATTGTCATTATATTATTATTTTTAATTTTTTTTTTTTGTTATTGTATTTATTTATTTATTTATATAAAATGAATAAATTATGTATTTATAAACTTTATAATTTTTTAAAAAATAATTTTAATAGGAAAATGGAAAATATCTACTCTTTAATAATATATATAATTAAGTAATTTTATTTACTTAAACTTAATTTTTTTTATTTAAATTTAAATGGAAAATGAATGAATATTATTATTATTATTGTTTAACGTGTTATTTATTAATAATTTGTTTTTAAAAATAATTTATTGATTGATTGATTTTCTATAACTACGGTAAATAAAAATAAATTATTAATATTTTTTAATAATAAAAAGGTTAATGGCTATGTTTAAATTTTACAAAAAAAAAAAAAAGAAAAAAAACGTTTTGAAATTTTTTTTTATCACGTTGGCAGCTTGTTTAATATAATCGTAAACATAGCAACGATAAGTTGCTTTTATAAAAGATTTTTAAGGTTTTTCGGTGATGGCCACCAATCCGCATCGAGATCGAAAAGGTAGCAGATCTCACGAACACCGGGATAGGGACCCTAGGGAAATAACTGATAGAGTTTACGAAGAAGACAATGCAGAAGAACGTGAAAGAGAATTATTTTGGAATAATAATACTCCTAATGCACAACAAAATCCAAAAAATACTTTTGCTCCCGATGACAGAGGCTCACGATTTCTTATTAGAGAAAGAGAATATTATACCGTTCATGATGATCCTGAAACTCAACGTAGGAGACAACAAGAAGAACCGGGTGAAGTAATACACAATGTAGATAATAATAGACGAAGAGCATCGAGAACAGAACCGGAAAATGTCGAACCTCATTTTAATCCTAATTTAAGACAAGATTCGAGTAAAAATTTTAATAAAAATCGCCGAGAGTTTACAACAGATGAAAGAAATTCTAAAGGTGAAGTCGAGCATCATTATAGTCATTATCAAAATAGAAGTCGAGAAGGTCCCTTGAACAGGCGGGAACCTCATCACGAACAGGAAATACCTCCTGATTTTAACGAAAAAGGTTATTTTGATCCTTTCAAAGAAAACCATAAGAGACAAGGTTCTTTACACGTAAGTTGTTAATATTTGTAGTTTTCCCTTGATTTTATCCTTAATTCCTTATTTTTTTGGGTTTTTTTCCGGTGGGGTTTAAATATAAAATTTTTGTTTAAATAATTTAATAATAATATTATAATAAAATATTAAAATTTTTTAAAAATTTTTTAGGAGGGGCGTTCACCAATGGCAACAACACCTTTACCAGACATTAATCATGACGCACCACTTCCACCTATTCCCAAATATTCCCGTAAGTACGGGTCACCAGAAAGAATTCCTGAAAAGACGTATTCAAAGGTAAATTGTTTTGAAATGTCGTGGAACTAAATTTTTCCAGAGAAAAAAAAAAAACCAAGGGGAAAATTTTCATATAAGAATTTATTATTATTATTTAATTCTTTGCCAAGAGTAATATTACTATTTCGTCTTTTTTTACGGATTACGATAATAATAATAATAATAAATTTTTATTTTTTGTTATTTTAAAATTTAACCCAGTAAAAAATTAAAACGAAATTTAAAAAAGTAAATTATAAAATAAATTAAATGCAGTTACATCTGTGACCACATCTGCAGAATGACCTACATGAAATTCAACCGAAAGAAAATTCAAGAATGATAAAAGAGGAACATAATATGGCCGACAACAACCATGAAAATAAACAAGATATTTATAAAGAAGGAGAATTGATGAGAGGCGATAAAAAACCGGAAAGTCATTTGAATTTAGTGTCAGCAGAAACTTTTCGTCATTTATCGAAGTAAATCGTAATTAACGACTATTTTTTTTTTTTGCAGATTATAATTTAAATTATAATTGAATTAATTTTTACGTTTTTTATTTACAGGCAAGAAGAAAATGCTGGAGGAGGAGGTCCTGCTGAATTTTCAAGGCATAAAACTACAGGAGAACATACCGGAAGTAAAAAAGCTTTTAATCGTATTTCCCACGTCGGAAGTAAAAGTCGTGTTTACGAACGTGAAAAAGATGAAACTTTAAGACGAAGGGTAAGTTCATTTCATTTTTTTTTTTTAAATTTTTTAGTTTTAAACCATAATTTAAATATTTAACGGTCGTTTTTGTTATTTGACTTTTGTTTCTCGTATTACTAGTCAATAAATGCAGGAACAGGAGGAGGAACAGGAATGGGAACTGGAAGCAAAATGAACAAAGGTCCTCGTACTTATTACATTTTAAAAGAAGAAGATGACGACATCGAAAGAAAAGCTAGTGTTCTATTACCTGTTTTAGAAGATATTGAAAAAGTATTTCATGACTTAGTAGCATCAGGGGACGTTGCCGCCACTAAAAATTTTTTAAATAACCATCAAGATTTTAACATTAACTGTGTCAATTATCAGGTAAATTTTCTTATAAGTTTATTTAAAAAAAAATTATAAATTTAAAATAAAAAAAAAACTTTAAATTCCGACAGAAAATATCAGCTTTACATGTGGCAGTTAAACAACAAAATGAAGAAATGGTAGAATTCCTTCTAGAACAAAAAGGCATAGATATATCTGATTGCGCATTGTATGCAATCAAAGAAGGAAGTATTAAAATTGTGGAACTCATTTTTGAAAAAATTCGTGAGATATCACCGGGTCTGGAATTTGCTGGAACAACGCACAGGTAGTAAAATATAGAATTAGAATTAAAATTATATAAATTTTTTTTTTTAATTATGACTTTATGGAATTTCGTTTTACAGTGTTGATTTTTCTGATGATTTGACACCAATAATTCTTGCAGCACAATTAGGAAATTATGAAATGATTGATTTTTTAATAAAAAGAGGTCACGGAATCCCTCCGGTTCATCCTCCATTTTGTAAATGTGATGCGTGCAAGTTAGTGTTGATTTTGTTGTTATTATTTGTTTTCATTCTTGTTTTACATTTATATCGGTATTTGAAACATACTTAGGCGACATTAACTCAACTAAATTTTTTTTTTTTTTGTAAAACCATTCAAAATATAATATCGTAACCAAAAAAAAAAAAAAAAATATTATGTGGATATTTTTTTTAATTATTCATCAGAGCTGATTTAAAGAAATATGATCGTTTAAAATATTCAACGATGAAACTTAATTTATACAAAGCTATATGTAATCCAATGTACATATTTCACACGCGAGATGATCCTTTTCAAAGAGCTTTCGAGTTGACAAAAGAATTACAGGATGCAGCAACAGTTTTTCCACAATTTAAAACTTCTTTCGAAGAACTTTGGTGCAGTTTGAGAACGTTTACCGTCGAACTCATCGGTAGTTTTACATAAAATTGATTTTTTTTTTAATTTTTTTTTTTTTTTAAATTATTATGAAATATCAAAAATTATTACAGGATGCTGTCGAAATGCACAAGAAGTAGAAATAATATTAAAAAAATCACCTAAAAGCGTTGCCGAACACGTGAAATTTCCCAGGTTGCAAGATGCAATCGATTTAAAACAAAAGGAATTTGTTTCTCATCCTTATACTCAAGCAGTAAGGTTTATATAACATTATTTTATAAAATTATTTGTCAATCAAAACTTTTAATTAAATTTAATATTTTCCAATAATTAATATTCATTTGTAAGGTTCTTAGCGATGCTTGGACCGGAGAATTATTTGAATGGAAAATTCGATCTCCTTTGATGCAATCATTAGCCGTCTTCCCCCGTATTCCCATGCTTCCATTCATGACAATTTTATGTATGTTTCTACCGAATCATAGTTTAGTGAGAAAATGGAAAACTCCAGTTAATAAAATGATTTCAAACGTTGCAAGCTATTTAATTTTTTTAATAATTTTATTTTTGGAAAGTAATTTAGACAAAACGAAACAGAAAAGAGGTCCTCCAAATTCTGGTATGTTAGTGAAAAACTTTTACTTTATGATAAGAGTATAAAAGCAATTTCATTAATACTAAATTTATTGTTTTTTTTTTTTTTTTTTAGGGTTAGAAATAGTAATAATAATATACGTCATAGGATATATTTGGTTAAATATAAGAACATGCTTTAAACAAGGTTTAAAACGATTTTTCAGTACAATGTGGCATTGGTAAGTACACTTTTTGCTACACAACTCATAAAAAGAAACGATATCATTTTTTATCACGATTTGTTTTTCAGGTACGATACAATTATGTTACTTTTATTTGCATTGACCATAATTTTTTGGATAGCATCTTTAGTTGATATAACAGCCAACAATGATGTTGATCTTCCCAGAAAATATTGGAATTCTCTCGATCCAGAACTTGTTGCCGAAGGACTTTTTGCCGCCGCAGTGATTATGGCTTTTTTTAGATTAAATTTATTTCTTTCACTTAATTATCATTTGGGTCCATTACAAGTTAGTTTTTACATATATATATATATTATTTATTTATTAGAATTATTTAAAAGAAATGATTAAAAATTATTATTATTTTTTTTTAGGTTTCAATAGGAAAAATGACATTAGATATATTTCGTTTTATTATTATTTTCTTTATAATTATACTTGCTTGGTGTGCCGGTTTATGTCGTTTTTATCAACCTTATGACGGTATGGTACAAAAAGATGCTGTTTCTGGCTCAACCACGACACAGGTTAGATTTAAGTAAGCATTCTCATATGAATAAATGATACGCTGGAATAATATCATCATCATCATAAAACTCTTTTTTTTAATAATTTTTAAATTTTTTTTTTTAATAAATAAAAAGAAAACGACAACAACATTTATAATTTAATTTAAGGTGTCTTCATTTGTAAGTTTTCTCATGACTCTGAAAACGTTTTTTTGGGCAATTTTTGGAATGTCTCCGATAGAATCGGCGGATGTTATTATAGAAAACCTTCCGGGTGATACTCCAGATACAACAATTATAAATAAACATCAATTCACCGAAGCTGTCGGTTACATAGCTTTTGCACGTGAGTAAAATTTCGATCGTATTTATCGCGTTGACATTTAATAAATTTTGTTTCAAATATTTCACATGATGTATATTTTATTCAGTATTTCAGTTTTTGTCTGTCGTTGTTGTTTTAAATATGTTGGTCGCTTGCATGGCTAACACTTTTACCAAAGTTATAGATAATGTAACTGTTGAATGGGTGTTTGGCAGGTCACAGGTGTTTAAAAAAATTCAAAATATCCTTTATTATTATTATTATTATTTTTTGTTTTTAAATATTATATTAAAAAGTTTTTTTACTCTTGTTTTAGATATATTTGATTTTTATGGCTTACAGTGTTCTTCCTCCTCCTTTTAATTTACTTCCTACTGCGTCAGGTATAAAAGATATGTGCAAATGGTTTAGATTATTAGCCAGACCTACAGAAGGTCAAAGAGCCAAATGTAATTTAGCACACTGTTGTTATATTGTAAGTTTAACGTCTTAGTAATTGTTATTTTTTTAAAAAAAAAAAAAGTTATAAAAAGGGAAAAAATTTTCTTTTGTTTTAAGGAAAGTGAAACGGAAGCCTACGTTAACAATGAATTTCCATCTTTGATATCAGAATTGGCACAAAGGTACATTAGATTAAAAGTTCAAGAAGGAGAAGAACAACAAACTAATCAAGAAATTGAAGAACTTAGAAATGAATTACACGAAATTAAAGAAATAATTAAAAAATTGTACCCCATAAAAAGATCAAATATTTATTAATTAAATGTTTCTTATAATTTAAAACACAAAAATCTCAAATTATTATTTTTAACGCGTTCAAGAAGGTTTATTTTATTTAAAAAACAGAAAAAATTTATGATGTGTTTTCGATATTATCATTATCATCATCATCCATTTCAATCCCTATTTCTTCTATTAAATATTTTGCTTTTTTAGGATAACCTTCTAAAATTGCATCTAAAATGTTTAAACAAGTTCTTTTACGTATTTTATATTCTTTTAAATATTTTTCATATTGTTTATCAAGTTGATTTTTTTCTTCTTCTGAAAATTCTTCCAGAGAAGGTTGTATTGTATTTTCAACTTCATTCTCCATCTTTCGAATTGTTTCTTCTAATTCGATTTTTTCCAATAAAGCATCTTGGGTTGTAGGTTCTTTAAGTAAATTTTTTAATTCCGCTTCAGATATTTTAAATTCTTGTTCTAGTTTTTCAATATTAGTCGTCAGAGTTATAATTTCTCTGTCTAAATCTTGTATTTCTTTTATCGAATCGTTTTCATCTGATTGCATAAACGAATAAACTTTTTGCTTACCGTAAACTTTTTCTTTTATAACTTTTTTTAACGATAAATCGTCGAGTGCCTTTTGAACAGCTACTCTACTAAACTCATTTCTTAAATTTTGAACAATGTCCACAACACTGTAAGGTCGATTTTGACGACGTAAATAATCTAAAACACTTTCTTCACAATTATTATTCGATGCCATATATATTAGAATTGGCGTCAAAATGAAGTTTTATAAAATAAAGAAATTTGTCGCAACGTTAAAATTTGAATTTTTATAAAATGGCGTCTTTTTGCCCTGTTTTTTGACGGGCTTTTTTCTTTGGTTATTAAAAACACTTTTTCAATAAAAAAAGGTAGTTAGTTATATTTGTAATTTTTTTAATAAATTAACTTTAATTTAATTTAAAAATAAAATATAACGAGTTAATGATTTAGTACAGTATTTTTTTTTTTGAAATACAAATATGTATATTGAAAAAGCAGAGTGGTATTTAATGTAAAATTTTATAAAATTTAAAATTATTACAAATGCCTAATTCTTTTTTTTTAGTTGTATTTTTAGTTAAATGGTTGTTTAAATAATTTTATTATTTAGTATTGTAGGAAATTAGTTTGATATCTGCGTGTCTACAACGAATAAATTGCTACTTTACGCCCTGACGACAATGAAATAAGTTTATAGTCTGCTTTATATTTATTTACATAGTGGAACTAATTACCTTATACTATCAGTATAATTGATATAATTAATATCGAAAATGAATGTAAAGCAATATTTAGATCATTGCAACGAACAAAATTGGCAAGTGAATGATCAAAACGAAAAAATTCCAACTAACAAGTATAATGGTAACGATTCTGAATCAATGATAATGAAAAAATCAATTTTAGAGGAACGAGTGTATTCATTGAAGAAAACTATTTCAGTATTAAAAAGTGAATTATTAGAAGAAAAAGCTCTTTGGAAAAAAGAAATTGAATTAACGTCTAATCTTTTATCGTCCATGGAATGTTCTCCCGACTCGGATTTAAATTTCGATCCGGAAATAGATGTTAAATCAATCACGAATAATTCCCTTTCTACTCCCGATACATTAATGGCAACACCTTTGAATCGGGATTTTGAAGAAAAGCTTAGTAAATATCAAGGAACTTTGGCTCAAATGCAAGCAGAAAAACGTTTAAACATTAGGCGACAAATAGCTGCCAACACGTATAAAAAACGACTTAGCGAAGTTGAAAAATTATGCCAGGAAGAATTAAATAAAGTTCGTGAAACTGCAACATACCTTGAACCATTAAAACAAATCGCTTCCGAATGGAATAAAAGTAAACAAAATTATATGGACTCGTTAAAAACTTGTCCTATACCTGATG